TGGAAGAACGATCATGATCGTTATCCAATACTTACCATGATGGCTTGTGATATTATGGCAATACCAATAACATCCGTAGCCTCGGAGTTCACTTTTAGTATTGGCAGTAAAGTGCTCAACAAATATCGAAGCTCACTTCGACCAAAAAATTCAGAATCTTTGATATGCACTCGAACTTGGCTATATGGATATGAGTTTTAAGGTAACATGTTAACATAATATTTCATATATTTTATTATTTACATTTATTAATATTTGTAGTTGATCATTATTTTGTAGATGATAAGGTGAATGATGATTCGGATGATGATCTTGATGTGCCATTAACTAATCTCGAGACTGTGGAATCAAGAGACTCTATCACGCTCACTGTAGGATGAACATTTGTTGTCCTAAGAATGTTCTTTAATATTGGATTATGTATTTTTTTATTTTAGTTGGTATTTATAGTTTATTGACTTATTTTGTTTGTTTATGTTATGTATAATTGTGTATTAGTGATTTTGTATTTGTTTATTTTGGTTGTTATTTGTAGTTTTGTATTATATGTTATTGTTTGTTTGTTTATGTGTTATTTGTTTATTTTGATTCCTATTGGTTTATATTCTAAATTGAATTGAATTTAGAGTAGTTGATTTAGGGGGTGTAAATGTAAAAAATTAAAACTGTAGGAATTTTGGGGGTGTAACTGTCATAATTGAAAATTATTAGGGGTGAAATAAGAACTAAAATCTGGAGAGAGAAAATACGGGTCCGCCTGCGGGTCCACCCGTACTCGTATACGGTAGGGCACGGGTCCAACATTTTAGACCCGTATAAGGACCCGTACCCGTTTGACCCCGACCATACCCGGCCCACCCACCCATTTTGTCAAGTCTACTTTAAGGATATGAATCTAGAATAAATGTAACCTGAGGTACCAACTTGAGATTTTGTCAAACCTTGGGTGAAAATATATCGTTTACTCTTTTTTAATTAATATTTTAGAACTAGAAGACAAGTTTACCGAACTATTATGTGGGGGACGTCTATTTAATAATAGAAAATGTTAATTAAAATGAGTATGTTACAATGCCACATCAGTGTCTCAAGTAGATGACAAATCCTGAAGAAGAGCAGCAACGCTCCGTAGTTCTATAATTCAATTACAAATCCTAACAAATCTAAATGTACAATTTTATTTGGAAGTTAGGCTATCCAATTTCTTGGAAATGCATTACACAATCAATTTAACATAGGCCAGTTCTTGTTTCCACCAAGAAATAAATTGCAAGGCTAAACCAATTTCAATAGTTCTTACTACGATGTTCGTAACATATAACATATTTTGATTTGGGCAATATAAAATAAAGGATAATTCATATGAAATATATGATTTATTAAAAGCCTTGCAATATATATAACAAAGTTTCAGGACTGGATATATATAACAAAGTTCTTGACCGCAGTATAAGTTAATTAAAAGCCTATGAACTTTGAAAAATGATTTATTGAAAAAATCAATGCTAAATGTTTGTACTGCAGCACTACGTCGTTACCTGGCATTTTAACATACTGTTGCTACTTAAACATATTTTATAGTTGGTCTTAAACAATTGATAATTAAAGAGGCAAATGTGAGCCTATTCCTCTTGAAAACAATATATATAGAGAGAGAACTACAAAACAAAATCCTAAATTTAATTGTTCCCTTATTTAATTATGGCTGCTAATCTTTAATTACTTCCTTTGGAGGATGCAGATAGATCAAACTAGAAATCCCAAACTAGCTCTGCATCTTCCGAAGGAATCTTGTGTTCAGGATTGCTTAAATAATTCTAAAGAGGAATCTCTATATATATATATATGACAGTGAATGTTTAAATATCACATTGTCACTAGATGGATCAATGTGGGGGCAAATTTTATCCAATTAATATTTTATTTCACGTAACTATTCAATAATATATTTATTTTCTATATACTAAAGATTTTATGTCATGACATAACAATAGATTCTTTTTTCATTTTAGCATTATAACATGACAAAAGTGGTTGCCTTTAATCTCGCTTTTCTCTTTTTTTGGATTGAAACATATTACAATCTAAGATTAATGAGGATCATTATCCCATTCTAATTTTAATGCTTATTCATTTCCACAAATCAAACATTGTCTAGTACTCTCAATTTTGAATAAATTGAAAGAACATAAATCTTGAAAAATAGAAAAAAAAATCATAATGATAAATGGAAGTGTGTTCCATAATTGTAAACAATTTTTATTATCAGGAATGTTATATAATTGTTCTCTCTCACTAACATTTAAGTATTATTTTGTCATCTATTTGAGTCATTGATGCGGCATTTTAACATACTCTTTTTAATTAAACATATTCTATTATTAATTAAACCCCATTTAAGTAACTAACGTCAGCCATAACTATAGTTTTTCTTTAATCTATGAATTAGACATTGTTAAATAGGCAAAGAATGTCCAACAACACCTGTTGCTCGCACTTGATGAATAGGCAAAGAAGACAACGATTAGTGATCATTGAATTAAAGTACACTTATCCTATCAAATTACTGGGAAAATATTTTTAACATTGCAATTATGGATTTAATTTAATAATGATTTTATTTGTTAACATTACTGGAAAAATAATTGCTAATTTGCAATGTTTTTACGAGTAATGTGAAATGTTTATTGAATAAAAAATTTTAATATATTAGAATTAGAGCACAATTTCATCTAAACAATTTGTATTTACTCCTATTTTAAATGAAAAAAATTATAATGCATCACAGATTAATATGTTTAGGTCATTATTAAATTGATAATTGTATGATTGTGGTACCATATTAAATTTATTCCATCACTCTTGCTATTTCATTCCGCATTCTTTTTCGTTTATCTTCTTTTAACCAAGTGAATATTTTGTTGATGTAGTACCACATTAAATCTATATAATCATGTTCACCTTAATAACGTGGTCCTTCTTATGCGCATAATCAATCTAAAAATAAAACTAATTACAATCAATTCAACCACTCGGGTCATATTCGTTTGGTAAAAAAAATAGATAAAAGGAAAAGAATGCGTGTATATATATGTACACGGAAGATGAGAGGAAACCACATTGCAAAGAGAGAGGGAGAAACTAGATAGAGAGATACCAAAGATATTAACCCTTTACTTCGTGCTTCGGCTGTGGAACACTGGAAACTGGTGCTCTTAATAACCAGAAAACTATCTTTATACGGCAAAACTACTACCCAGGTACTAATGCACTTGTTTCATTTCTTATGATTTGTTCGAGTTATTTACCTTTCATGTATTTCTTAATGAGTTTCATGACTTTTTAACTATATAATTAGTATGAGCTTATATTTTTTTTATCAAAAAAGTTAACTCTTGCATGGAAGTGTTAATTTATTTGAGATTTGTCTTTTTTGGTCGTTAAACCCTAAATTTTGTAAGTACTGTGGCAAAAAAATTTCCTCTTAAAAGTTGAATGATTGAACATGAAATTACCCCTCAAATATTGTAAGTAAAAGTGAAATTTCAATTACACCCTTTAGTAATAAGAGTAATTGATGCCATTATAGTACTTTATGATCATTTGTGCATAATTATTATTAATAAAGAATTTGGTGGTACTTTTTGGAATTTTTTTTTTAATTTAAAGTGATGTGATATACTCTTTTACTTGTATAAGATATTGGTAATTAAGTGCACATAGGATATTCTTAAACCCATACCACACCAATTTTTTCCTAAATCTACAAGCCTCTCAGTCTCAAGTACAAGTAATTACTATGAACGATTCTTCGGTTTTTTTAACCAAATGAGTGAAATGACTTAATGCCCTCACATGCGCCACCTCCCAACTTAATTCATCTAAGCACCCCTCGGCCCTCCCACGCTACCACCCAACAGTACCACTTTAACATAACCAATAGCCCCAAAAACCATTAAAGCCAACCTACCACCCACATGTCAGACTTAATTTTTTTTTTTAAATATAAAAATTAAGAAAAAGGAACTGTTAAGTATGAAAAACACCTAAATTTTTTTGAAATATTCAAAATAAGAAATATGAATAATTAAAAAAAATAGAAAGATCTAAAAAATCAAAGATAAAATAACCTAAAAATTTAGAAAAAGTTTTAAGAAGTAAAAATAAATTAATGCAAATCTTTTAAAAAAAAAAAAAAATGGTTAAAAGAAAGCAGTCTTAGCCATAGAGGCCAATGTTGGCAAATGTTTTTTAGATTTTTTGTTTTAAGGTTTTTAAGTGTTTTTTTTAATTATTCTTAATTTTTTAATTCTTTTTTATTTAAATATTTTATGATTTTAGGCTAAGGTTTGTATTATTAAAGATTTTTTTAAATTTCTATTTAATTTTAAATTTTTTATTTAAAAGTGAGTTGTATACAAATTTTATAGTAAAATAGTCAAATTCAAGATATGATTAGGATAAATTATAATTGTGTTTAGTCAAAAAAGTCAACTCCCCTATTTTGGGGGTCTGTGTCGTAGTGTTTAGAATTTCTGGATTTTGAAGGGTGTAAACATTGACCATTAATGAGTATAAAAATTTTTGACGCGTTTACTCTTTTACCTTTTATCCTGTTAAAACTGAGAAAGAGTAAGTAGGTTTAGAGTGATTTTCCATATATAAGAGAGTTTCCTTAGTATATATTGGACATCAATAATGTTACGTTTACTCACGAACTTATTAATCATCTTATTCACTTTTGTTAAAATTACATATGATACCCGTACTATGCTTATAGTATCCATACTATGTTTTATATTTACACACGTTAATAAGTTCGTGAGTAAACATAGCATTACTCTATTGGACATATGCTTTATATATATATAAAATGCTATTTTATGAAATCTAATTAATATTAATATCAAAAAAAAAAAAAAATGATCTCTATTTGAGGGTTAATTTTATTGTTGTTGTTCATGTTGTTAACTAGGATGTACGATAATATGAACATAGAAATGAATTCTTCCATTGATGGAGAGGTCCGTGAGGAACGACACTTAATCGTAAATATGCTAATTCACAATTGGGAAGCCTCGCAGAATCGTCATATTGATTGTTGTATTTATAGAGTCCCTACACGTATTCGTAAAGTAAACGAAGAAACTTACACTCCTCAAGCAATTTCAATAGGCCCTTTTCATCATCAGAAAACAGAATTAGGCATCATGGAAAATCTAAAAGAGGGATATGTAGATCACTTTTTCTCACGAACAACTCTTGAGAAACGTGAGAAAGTTTTAGCCTTCATCCAAGAGCACGAGCTGAAGATACGAGATTGTTATTCAGAACCTTGTACGCTTAACAATGATGACTATGTAACGATGATTCTACGTGATGCTATTTTTATCATAGAGGTCTTCTTGAGCAATTATGAGCAAGATGATGAGCAAGATAGTGTTCCGGAAATTAAACCAACAGAAAAATTAGCTTTAATGTTGGACTTTATATTACTGGAAAATCAACTTCCATATTTTTTACTTGAGGGATTATACAAGATAGTTGTCAGTAGACCTCCCTTCATTAATCTTTGTTGTGATTTCTTCCGCCGTCCCAATGAGATGTTTGATAGCGTACCTGATCAATCAGAGATTAAACATTTCACCGATTTGCTAAGAGTTGCTCTAGTGAAAAGCTACCCGCAACAGAAGTCAAAGAAGCAGTCACATGAGGTAAATAGTGATGTTGATTTACCTAGTGCGGCGAAGCTACATGAATCAGGAGTGAAATTCAGTGCTAGTCAAATGGAATGCTTATTTGACATAAAATTTGAAGAAGGCGAGTTGAGAATACCACAATTATCAGTTGACAATGCGACAGAAACTATACTTCGGAACATAATGGCTTTGGAGCAATGTTACTATCCATATACTACTCTCGTCTGTGATTATGTTGAACTACTAGATTCTCTTATAGACGAAAAAAGCGATTTGGATTTGCTTGTTAAGGAGGGAATTATTTCCAATCGTATGGGCAACAGTACGTCAATAGTACGTATGGTTAACAACCTTTGCACACAAATTACCATAAATAGAGTTCATTACGAAGATATTTCTAAGCGACTGAAAAAACACTATAATGAACCTTGCAATCATACCTGCGCAAAATTGAAAAGTGTGTATTTCAGCGATCTCTGGACAGGTACTGCAACTATTGCTGCTGCTGTACTCTTGATACTTACATTTATGCAAACTGTGGCTTCTTTTTTGCAATTGAAATAGATGTATTACTTTGCATTTGAAAGCTTTTCGATTTAATAATTAATAATAAAGTCTTGCTATTTATGTATTATTCACTTTTTATATATGTTTATATGTTTAATCATTCACCATAATCAATCTTTTCAATTTTAAAACCACTATTGTACATTAAATCAATCATTTCGTTAAATCCATCTTTCATTGTTAAATCAATCTAAATTTGATAAGAAAAAACTATTAACTATTGTGAAAGTCAGCAGAGAAAACAATTGAAGAAGAGGTTTCTATCAGTTATTGCTAAATCTAATTCAATTCTCTAATCCACCGAGAAAAAATTTTGCAAGCCTAAACCAATTTCAGTAGGTCTTATTGCCTTAATCTTAAGATATATATAACGTATTTTGATTTGATAAAATAATATGATCTAGCCTAGGTTTCAAAATTGTAAATCATGTATGTTCTCAACCGTACCGTAAGATAAGTTAAAAGCCTCTCTATATATGAACTGTATAAAATAAATTATAAAAAAAAAAATAATGCTAAAAGTTAGTGCAGACACCATCCCGTTAAAAATATTTTATAGTTTGTCTTAAAGATAATATTTTTTAAATCTTGGGTTAACGGTTGTTAATTAAATAGGTAACATGTGGATATGTTTACCTAACTACCTCGTAATATGTTTCTTTCTATAAAGTAAAGATTTTTTTTTTAAGATACCGTAATTGGCCACCCCTTGATACAATTGGAACTCAATAGCGGGAGGGGGCTGGTTCTCTATCCATCCAACCAATAGAATAAAAATTTCACGTTGACAAAATAGTGGAATCTTATTTCATCACTCTTTCCACGTGCCTTTCCTCTGCCCATTTTATTTTAAAATGAACTTGACCTAGTTAGCCGGTGATCATTTAAAGATAAGCTTTCTTTCAAACCGTTGGATTGAAATATGTGCACAATTGAAGCAATATATATAACGGCTTTGGAGCAGTTCTATCAAATTGATATACTGATCTGATACAAAATTCACCCACACTAGTTCTACACTTTCAGGAAGCGAAGCAAACAATCCAGAAGAAGAGAGTTTCTTTATAATAAAACTTGCTCTCAGATGAATAATCCCAACAAGATTAAAAAACAATCAATCACATAACAATCAATAGGTATCAAGATATAAAGAGAAAAACAAGAAAAATAAAAGAGACAGTCAATTTTAGTGGTTCAGCATTCAAGGCCTACGTCCATTCTTCAAGGCAAGGTAGTATTTCATTGAATCTGCAATATCCTTAGATTTACATATCATATTAACCTTTAAATCCAATAACAAGAAAGAATCACACCTGATTAATTGATAAACTCTAACCACTTTGATTCCAATAAACTCTCTCGCACTCTCTACTAACCAAATGTGAGTTTTTATACAATCAAAGGGTCTCAGCATCAGTTTCCACCTGGAATCAAGCTTCCTTCCTATTGTAGGATGAAGATCAAGAAGAATCTTAACCGAATGGTGTGACATTGCAAAAAGAGAGAGAGCAACTGAATTTGTTTTTGCTGTAGGTGAATGAATGCCACGCCACGAAGACAAAGCTAAAATTGATCCTCCATTCTCCAAAACGGCCACAATATTTGACTTTTCAAACATTAAAAATGACTTGCTGACTTGGCAGTGACATGGCAAAGAAGTGTCAAACTCATCACAATTCTCCACCTTGGTACTTGCTTTGACATACCAGAAAACTAACCCATGCCTTGGAATCCTTGATCATCATCATTCAACGTGTAATAGGCTCATACAGAGCTTATGTTTATCAGCAGTAACTGGCTTTGTAAGCATGTCTGATGCTTTCGAGATGAAGAGAAAACCACATTGCAAAGAGTAAGGGAGCGACTAGAGAGATACCGTAGATATTAATACATGCCTGTGGGCTACGGTAGTAGGAACTCTGTGAATGAAATAAAGACAATAACAGGAACAAAATATAATAGTAAAACAAATCAAATAGTAAACAAAGAAAATAACACGTGCGATTTACCCTGCTTCACCCAATGTGGGCTACATCCAGCTGAGTCAATATTATTGCAATATGTCTCACCTCTCTCGTTTACAATGAATGAATTGCTCTCACACACATAATAAGAGAAAAGTATGTTTATATACTAAGTTTAAGAGATTAAACCTAGTTTTATAAGGATTCATATTTCTAAGCTCAACTGAATAAGGAATTAATAACTTAAAAGAAATCCTAAAGCGGTTATACATGGAAAAGCCCAAAACCGTCTATGGGCTCGGGGGCGTTACCCATTCATGCTGAAGTAGTCGACAACTCCAACACTCTGGACACTGGTGCTTTCGAAACTGACCAAAGACAACTATCTTTTTTCAAGCAAAATTACTCAGGTTTTCATGCACTTACTTTTCTTATTTGTCTTTATGATTTGTTTAAGTTATTTACCTTTCATGCATTTTTAGCTAATTGATGTTCGCTTGGAAGAAATTATTAACTATATATATATGAAATGGAATGATTTTCTAGTATGACTCAAGACAGAACTTTGTTAACTTGTCATCCCATCTAAAAACTTAAGTAAAAACTTAAGTAATAGGCCAGAGCTTAACATTATATTAGTCTAATAAACTCCTTTACATGAAATTTGATTTTTTTTTTTTTTTTCAATTTTTCTTGATCCAGTTGAAAGTAGGGATTCGAACTTTAAAACTTTGGTTTTGATACTATGTTAACATTATATTTGTTTAATAAACATTTCCAGCCAAATATTTAAGAAACTTAGTTTCATTATTTTTTCTAACTATATAATTAGAATAAGCATGGAAGAGTTAACTTTTATTTGAAAATTTTTGCCTTTTTTGGTCGTTAAACCCTAAATTTTTTGTCAAGTACTCCCTTTATATTCAACTATATATACATATGTGGTATAGCTAGCTAGCTACTCTTTGTTGGTTAATGAGAAAATTAAAAGCTAGTGCAGGTTGAAAAAATGAAAAGAAACTAAATGTGTGTTAATTGGTTAATGAGAAAACGGAGAGAAAGTATTAATTAAAAAATGTTTGGTTTTGATTTATTGTTTAATGGATGGGTTTAACAGATGATATCCTGGTCAAAATTATTTCCTCATCTAAACTTGAGGGATCAAAATATTAAATTTTAATTAAACCCTTTAGTTATTAACAGTAATTGATGCTGTTAATTATATTATTATTTAAAGAAATTTGGGAGTATTTATTTTTAATTCAAAATGACGTGATATACTCTTATTACTTACATAGATTATAAGGTTATTTAAACCCTCTAAGTTTTTCCTAAATCTATTAGGTATTGGCAATAATTATGAATCCGTTGGTGTCAGGATTCTTTGATTAGTTTTGAGCAAATGAGGCAAAACGACCTTAATTCCCAGCTTTGACTTAATCTCCAGCAGCCCCCAGCACCATCCGCCCACCCACTTTAAATCTATATCCAACAGGCCCCAAAAACCCATTAACCCCAACCTACCCCCCGCGTGAGAATTTAAAAAAAAAAATTTATTAAATTATAAAAAATAAATTAAAAAATCTAAAAAAATATATAATAAGTCTTAAATATTAGAAATAAGAAATCTGAAAAAAATATAAATATCTGAAAAAATTAAAGATAAAAAATCTAAAAACTAATTAAAAACATTTTTTTTTTTCTTAAAACAAATCTCAAAAAATGGTGGTCTTTGCCATCGTGGCTGACATTGGCCCGTAGCTCGATAGTAGAACTTGGCAAAATGTTTTTAGATTATAGCTCCTTTTTTTAAGGTTGTTTAAATAAGTTTTTGAAGTATTCCTAATTTTTTTGACTCTTTAAATTTTTTATTTTGAATTCTTTTTCATTTAAATATTTGCGATTTTAGATTAAGGGTTTATATTATTTAAGACTTTTTTTTTAATTTTATTTAGTTTTTTTATTTTCTTATGTAGAAATAAGTTGTTGACAAATTTTTGAGTAAAATAGTCAAGTTCAAGATATGATTCGGATAAATTGAAATTGTGTTTTGTCAAAAATCAAAATTAGTCGACTCCCATATTTATGGGGGTCTGTGGGGTACTGTGTAGAGTTTTTTGGTGTGTAATTGAGTTTTTGAGTTTGAAGGGGTGTAAAATAATTACCCTTAATTATTGTAAAAAATTAGGTACATTTATTCTTTTACTCTTTATCCAGTTAAAACTAGTTTGACTGATGACTGCTGGGGGTTCCGAATAGTTACCAATATTTGAGGGGGTTTAACGTAATCCCTCATATATATTGGGCATTTGTAACAATGTATATATCCAAGATCCATAGAGCCAAAGTTCATGCGCAATCTGTCTTATATATTCATAAAATAAATTCTAAATACTATTTTATGTAATTAATATCAATATCAAAGACAAAAATGATCTCTGTTTGAGGTTTAATTTTATCATTGTTGTTATGTTATTAACTAGGATGTACTACAGTATGAACATGGAGAAGAGTTCTTCCATTAACCAGGATCAGTAGAGGGGTGAGCACGGGTAGAATCGAAACCTGCGGATAGAACCGGAACCGAAACCAGAAACTACCCGGAACCGACACTATGTGGGTAGGTTCCGGTTTCATTTTATTGGAACAGATATTGTACAGTTCTGGTTTCGGTTCTTGTGTGTAGAGGAATCGGAACTGAAACATGGAAAAAGAACCTAAAACGGGTACCCTGTTTGGAACCTGTAGCGGGTACCCGATTTAGAACCTATTTGGAACCAATTTTTGGAACCTGTTTTAGAACCTGCTTGGAACCTGTTTTGGAACCTGTTTTAGAACCTGTTTGAAACCTGTTTTGGAACCTGTTTGGAACCTGTTTGGAACCTGTTTTGGAACCTGAACTGCAATGAAATAATTGTGAAATGTGAATAATAGGGGGTTTCTATTATTTTACATATAAAAAAATTTAAAATAGAAAAAGTTAAATTTTTAGAATAACCTAATTAAATAAATATACAATTATACTTATTACAT